GCTCGGCTACAGCTCGGCTACCGCTCGGCTACAGCTCGGCTACCGCTCGGCTACCGCTCGGCTACCGCTCGGCTACAGCTCGGCTACAGCTCGGCTACAGCTCGGCTACAGCTCGGCTACAGCTCGGCTACAGCTCGGCTACAGCTCGGCTACAGCTCGGCTACAGCTCGGCTACAGCTCGGCTACAGCTCGGCTACAGCTCGGCTACAGCTCGGCTACAGCTCGGCTACAGCTCGGCTACAGCTCGGCTACCGCTCGGCTACCGCTCGGCTACAGCTCGGCTACAGCTCGGCTACCGCTCGGCTACAGCTCGGCTACAGCTCGGCTACAGCTCGGCTACCGCTCGGCTACCGCTCGGCTACAGCTCGGCTACAGCTCGGCTACAGCTCGGCTACAGCTCGGCTACAGCTCGGCTACAGCTCGGCTACAGCTCGGCTACAGCTCGGCTACAGCTCGGCTACAGCTCGGCTACAGCTCGGCTACAGCTCGGCTACCGCTCGGCTACAGCTCGGCTACCGCTCGGCTACAGCTCGGCTACAGCTCGGCTACAGCTCGGCTACAGCTCGGCTACAGCTCGGCTACAGCTCGGCTACAGCTCGGCTACAGCTCGGCTACAGCTCGGCTACAGCTCGGCTACAGCTCGGCTACAGCTCGGCTACAGCTCGGCTACCGCTCGGCTACAGCTCGGCAGGACCTGGATGAGGCGGTGCACGTAACCGTCCGCCGCGTAGTCCCACACGCGCTGCGAGCCGAGCTCCATCGCAAAGTTGTGGCCTGCGCACAGCCGGCAAGTGTGTGAGGAGGCGGCCGCACAGCGAGCGGAGCCCTCTCCGTCGCTAGGGCGGTGACCGGTCCGCTCGTTGTGGATCACGCCCGCGCCTGCTCACAGCCGGAGGTGTGAAGAGACGCCGACCCACGGCAGTTGCGCTCGCCGGTATCCTCTCCCCGCACCGCAGCCGTACCGGCCGCACCCGACGTGGCCACACACGAGGCAGATCCAGAGGGAGGCGCCCGTGCCGCAGATCTCGCACGAGGTTGCCGACTCCTCGACTCCGCCAGAGACGTGCCGGCAGACGGGGCAGGACGGGTCGTCCCACTGGCGGAGGCAGTCGTTGTGGAAGGTGTGGTTGCAGAGGATGGTGAGGACGCCGGACACCTGCCGCCGCCAGGTAGGGGGTGGGGGGTGGC